GCTGAACTAGGTCCCCTGAGTGTTACAGACTCTTAGACCATCAGGAAGATGAGCTGTCGGAGCCCTTGGTAACTGTATGCTTAGTTAATGCAAGACCTCCACTAATGACTCTAAGATAAATCTGCTCCCAGGTTTGAAAGCCGGCCGAATGCAGTTCCGGTTTTCAGGTTTTGCGATTAGTCTGATTCAGCTCTTTGAATTATTTTTGGTGTATTTCATGACAGAAATCTTAGGAAGAAACACTTTCAAGTTAGGTATTTTATGTAGATACTAATTGTATACTTACCTTTTTTGCTTAAATAACACTTTAAGAACGTTACAGCATTGGTAAGCTGTAACTTATGGTCATCAGATGATATCTCCACTACCACTGTTAAGAAATACAGCACTCTTTATATACCAAAATAAATTGACAGCAGAGTGCAGCAAGGGATACATAAATGAATTAAACCTTTTTTTCAGTTCTGTCCACCACTCTTGAGTAGGGGAAAAAGCAAAGTTCATTCACAACAGTTGTGGTCTTTTTTTTTTCCAGGTCTTTAATCATACTGTCAATGTACTTGGAAACCTGAAGTGTAATGTTTCATAGCCAGAAGAGTGTACAATTTGCCATGAGTCCCACATGGTACAGATAATCAGAAACCGAAATATACCATAGGAGTTTGTGATTCTCTCTGTTGTTGTTTTTGGGTTTCTTTTTTTCCAATAAGTCTTCATGGACAACGTTTGCAATTTTTTTTAGGCGAGTCAGAGAACTGAACAGCAGCAACACAAAAAAGTTCCTGGAAGAAAGAAAAAGGGTAACTATAAGCTTGACAAAGTCACTGGACACTGCTTCTGGCTATTCATTTTCATTCCTTTATGTTAAGAATCCAGCTCTAGTAAACAAACAGATGTTTGTCCTTGCTTTGTTCCACATATTTGTAGTGTAAAAGATCTAGCATCTACATAAGAGGAAGCTATTTTAAATTAACAAAAATACTATTCACTGTTGCATATTTGCTACTTTTACATGGTACATATGTAATATGTATGATACACATATATTATTCTATTAATAGCTCTTAAGATTGGATGATATAATGGGCCTCCTTTGGTGTTTTCTGACATCCAAGTGGGGCAAGACAGTGTATATATATGTATTTTTCAAGTCAGTTTTTATTTTGCTGGTTAATAATATGTTACATTTCCCCCCATTATTTTCTCTTGCTTACAGCTGGCAATGAAGCAGTCAAAGGAAATGGATCAGTTGAAAAAAGTTCAGCTTGAGCATTTAGAAGTCTTGGAGAAGCAGAATGAGCAGGTATCTTATTTAAAGGCTTAAAAGAAAAGCAAGCTAGTGCAAACAGTAACCAGAATCAGGCTGAGTAGAATGCTTCTGAATGTAAGTCATTACCAAACTTGGGAAAATGACCTTGTTCATGGTCACTCAACTACTTGGGGAGTTAAAATGAAGAGGTGAGGTGACTTAAATAATGATACAGAACCAGAAGTGTGTGAAAGCTAGACTGCTTAAACAGAGTCTGTCCTTTCAGCTGTTCAGCCATGTTGATACTTGTTAGCTAGATGTGAGTCATGAAAGGCCCAGTATAGCCATTTTAATTAGTCCCAAAAAAGTACCTTAAGCAAATCTGTTTCCTTCATTTTGAAATTTACATTTCTAGTGCTGATTGGAAAATAGAGGTGAAACGTGCACAGGGCACCTCTGAACTCTGAGACGGTTAGTTTGGACTGAATTCTAGAGATGTATAGTAGCATGGGGAGTTTTATCGGTACTAGTACACCCTTTCCTAATTAAAATACCTTATTATTTTCTGCTAGTTTATAAGCTTTTTTTTTTTTTTGATTGAAAAACTACTTGGCAAGGAAAGGAAAATTCTAATCTTATTTCTGGTAGAAGCAATGCTGCATGTTGAGCCAGCAGAGCTGTAATAACTGCATGGACTTGCAGTGCTGCACTTACACAAATTTAAACTGTATTAGGGGAATATACCCAGCAGTTCAGTGAGAGGAGAGAGAAGGGGTGCATTTAATACCCATTACTTTCAAGAGTTATGTACTTTGTTATTAAATGTTCAGAACTTGAACTCTCCAGACATGACAGTCTGAATTAAACCCATCTTGCAGAGGAGGAGGAAAGAGAAGAGTACATGCAAATCAAGTATTTGCACCATCAGGAGCAAGTCGTAAAGCCCCAAAAGGTGAAGCCTGGTTAACTTTTAAGGGGGTGACAGCATGTAGGATCATGGGCAACTGCTACTACTGAGCACTAGCCACCATGGCCCTGTCTTGCTCCACCTCCTTTCTGGACAACAACCAAAATTCCTAGTCTGTTCCTTCACAGGGTTTCTGTAGATGCCGTCTGTAACATCCAGTATGAATGGATCTGCCATGAGCAATATCTGCACATTATCAAAAGGCAGGGGAGGCAGGCACCAGCGGGAGGCAATTGGGTCACAGCGGATCTGTAGCATCACTGTAGAGAGATCCCTGTGCTAGCTGACAAAAAATGATAGGCTTGATCCAGAGATAGGTGTTATCAGTGGTTTCTTTCCATTGGCAACAGAGGGCTTTGGATCCATTTTCTAAAAACATAAGGGCAAGAGGGAATTATTATAGTTGTGCTTTTAATTCAATAAACACGTGATGTATAAAGGTGGGAGGTTGCTGGGAAGTAAGTGTGAGTCATTAAAGGAGTCACCTCTTTCAGCAACTAGATACTTCCCTCACCTGGGGTTACAGCTTCTACTGAGAGATGGTAACAGCCTACATGAGCTTGCTCATACTCCACTTCAGTGCTGAGATGAAGCCAGATTAAATCATCAATTATTAAATGGAGTAAGATCATTCACGTCCTGGTTATCACTTCTGTGGGCATCTGGTGGCCTCCACCACAGGGTAGTCCTTCACAGCTTTTTAACTCTCATTTAATCCCTCAGAGCATATATTTTCACACCTGCTATTTTAACTGCTTCCTTTTAGCCCCAAAAGTGCACCAGTGCAAACCTCCAGCTGCATATGGTTTTGTTGTTATACACATTGATGTATGAAAGCTAGTTGGATCAAAATAAAGGTGGTATTTGTTTAATGAGAATTTCAAAGCATGATTTTTTTCCTGATCAAATGATAATAAATTTTTATACAAATATACAATGTAGAAAAGTAGAATTATGGGTGGAAGCAGCCTTCAATGCAAACTGTTATGAATTTAAATTTGTTTTGTTTTATGTATGTTTTTCTTGCATTAATTTTGCAATCTCACTTCAGTTTTCATTCATTTAATTTGCTTCTTGTTGTATTACTCAATTTTGACATTATTATTTTTGTGCAAACAGCTTTTGAAATCCTGTCATGCAGTGTCTCAAACACAAGGTAGGATGGATGTATAATAAGCAAACTATTATTTCAGTGTGCTTTCCGTCTAAACGAAATCATTATCACTGGAGCCTTCCTTGTAAATGCAACCATTGGGAAGTACCATTGACACAGTGAACACAATGTTAATCTTGTTTGCACACAGATATTTGAGCCTGACACAACGTTAACAGTATTTTGTGCTTTAGCATCTCAGATTCAGATCCATATGAAGTGATGTGCAGAGGAAATATTTAGAGATTAACTTGTAAGCTGTCCTTACTGAAAGATATGCTTAGAGTTCTAAACTGTGTCTGAGAAGTGTCTTTTGATCTAAGAAAATTATTTTAGTGTTAACTTACATATATGATTAATTGCTAATGCTGGTAGTCAGACAAACAGTATCCACATATATTAGTATGGTAATAAGTAAGTACACACTAAGAATAGCAAAATATAGAATAGATGGCTAGAAATGGCTTTTTAGTATCTAAAGAAGCTTTCAGCATTTTAAAATTCACTTCAAAGTCCAACACATTACAAGGTATGGCAATTATACTTACCATGTGGCATCTTAAAAGCAGAGTCCATTAGCTGCCGCTCACTTCATGAATTCACTGTAGCTTCACCAGTGCTTTCCAGAAGGCTCATCTTCAAGTATTGTGCTTGTGTGTTCACATTAGAATCACTGTCTGAACTAGCTTCAGACTAACAAACGGGTATCCTGGTCCTATGCTAATGTGTTCTTTGAAGCCAAGTTATCTCTAAAATAATTCTGTACACCATATATTGGCATGCAGAATATTTATAGGACACCATGTGCCAGTAGTTAAGTCACAAGCCTAAAACGTGAAATGTGTGAGTCACTAAGAAACAACCACAGGGTTTTGTTTTATCTGGAATTTAATTTCACACACAGGCAAAATCCAGCCAACATTTCAGAAGAGGTTGTACATATTGATTTATTTATTATGTTTCCATATTTTCATGTTAAAATTATTTCTTCATTACTTTCAAGCTTTTAACTCATTTAAATAGAGGGTGTTGATTAATTTTTAATCATATTTATGTCAGTTGCTTTGCTATTATCATGATTACTTTTTTCCCCAGGATGATGATGATGATTATGAAAGTACAGGGCTAGATGTTTCAAGAAGTCACATATATCACATCTGCACAAACCCCCATTTACCTTGCAAAATTAATAGCTATGCATCTCATTCCTTTAGATCTACATCTGCCCATTTTTTGTATATGCACATCCAGAATAGGTGACTTCTTAAGTAGGAGCTTGTATAGCAATGTTTCCTGCCTAAGCAACATTTACAACTTTGGGGGAACGTAGGTCATGTAAATCAAGTCCAGTAACCTTTCTTCCCTGTGTGACGGATACAGAGCAGTTAGACCAAAGAAAATACTAGCTTGGTTTGCCTCTTCCTAAACCTATCCTAATCCTCGGGAGCTTGATTGTAAAGATAGATGGGTGAGCTTGCCTTCTGGGTCAATTTATTCTGAGTCCTTTGGGTTGTGGATTTAAATAACTTCCCATATTGAGAGCCCTCTGAGAAAATGAAGAGATGCTGACTCCCAGTTCCTTTAAATGGCAGAGTTTCAAGCCAAAGCACAACTTCTAACCTGTAACTGAGCCGCAGGAGGAGTAAGTGTGCATGTGTGCACATCAGAGAGAGTAAGGGAGAGGAAGGAAATTTTAAAAAGCTCCCTCTAAGCAAGTGATTCCCAGGCCAATTACCATTTATATACAGTGCTTTAACTCTGCTTGCCAAGCCTGAGGCATGCGGAGTGTATAGTGAGATCTGTTATACATTCATTGCTGTATTTTGCACAATACATTTGGATACAGTTTCAGGTGCATTCAGGGTGTGTAATCCCATGAAGTGTATAGCAGTAGTCTAGTCCTGAGGTGAAAATCACCACACCTGTAATCATAAGGAACTCCAGGCCAAATGGAGATTATTTTTTTAAAGTTATTATTTAAAATACCTTGCCTAGTGCAAGGAAGATGTTACACTGATGGATTTTCATCATTCATTGTTTTTATGAAAGAAATTAGTCCAGATCATAGATGATTTCTCTAAACAGTAAGTTGGACATTGCAGTACTCGGACAATAGTGGTGAAGCATACATTCCCAAAGATATTTCCTATCAGAATAAACAGTCAAATAGGCATCTGCCTAGTTTTCTTCCTCAAAATTGGACCTTCTGCATTTTACCATACACTTCTTTAGAAAGTCAACCCATGAATTTTGGAATAGGATCAAAAATATTTCCCAAGAATTTGTAGACATAAGAATTACATCTGGTTTTGAAAACGGAATGACACTCGGGGGGAGTAAACATAACGTTATTATGTTACTACATATATCTTTAGTGTGTTTTGCCTGTATTTCACTCAGACACTATCATATAAAACATGCTTCATTTTGAACAAAAGGTCTCATGCAATGTTTCATGTGGTTATTTTGGATTGCAGGCAAAGGAGATGCAGCAGATGGTGAAGCTGGAAGCAGAGATGGATCGCAGGCCAGCAACAGTGGTCTAAAGCCTCAACAAGCAAATTGAAGTTGGAGAACACAGCATCCTTAAAATGAGAGCAAAATTCAAAACAATGTTGCTGAGGTTGAAAAGTGGGCTTTTAAAATTTTTTTTAAATTTTTGTTTGTTTGGTTGGTTTTTTTTTTTGTTTTTAATATATAAAGTGTAGCTACGGACCACCAAGTCTTAAGTTTGCATTATTTCTTTTTTAACACTGAGCACTGAATTTCCTTTGTTGGATTTCCCTAAGAGTTTCCTTTGTTCAGAAAAACACTAATCAGAAGATGAAGACAGTTTTTTAAACCCAGTCCTGTATTCCTTTCTGTATCTCAACGGGCAGCTTGCCTGCATCAGAATTACACAGTCAGAGCCTTGAAACACAACAGATATTTTTAACATCATCTCAGATGGCAACAAAACTGTAGTCAAGTCATGTTATTTACCATTTGTGTTCTCATTTGTGATATACTGTGTAGAAACCCCATGCTGCCAGATCCTGACAAGCAACAATGCGTCAGATGCTTGGCACCTGATGTCATCGAGCCCACTGAACTGGATCTTCTGCTAAGTCACTGCAATAATCAGTATAGTAAGGAGCTGAGTTTGGGCAATTTAAAATTATATTTCAAAGTATTTTTCAGGGAGCAGACAGCAGGCAGTTGAAAGTTAATTGCGTATATTCAAAAGTACAATATGTACAAAGTCATTGGCCAAATTCATCAACTGTAACAGTAACTGGACAGGATATTTCTGCAGTTCAACAATGTCATTCACAAGTGCCATATCAACTCTATGTCTGAAAGAAGCCGATATCCTGTGAAAGCTACTGCAACAGTTAGCATGAGGGAAATACAGTGTATTTGTGCCAAAACTAATCAGTGCTCTAAGGAATTACGTATCAGGCACTTAAAGAAAAGTTTACGTCCTACATTGCTTGTATAGAAATTGCATTTTGACCCTGTTGCTGCAGATCCCGGATACTACAGTTCATTGTAACTTAAAGATTGTTTAAATGGCTTTTGGCAAAAAGTTTCTAACTGTGAAAATGTAAAAAGTATTTATACACTTCAGAATCACAACATTGTAGAAAATCACATACATGTGACCACATGATAAAATTAGTAAACAAATGCTAAGAGTATGTTTGCATGTGATACAAATGCTTTTAAGACTGTACTGCCTACTATATGACCACAGTCATTCTACTTAGCTAGTAAATACTGAATAAATGTATGGCACAGAATATTGTTTGATTAATTACAAAGACTTTTAGCATAACAAGGTCTCTATATATATGTGTGTATATTAATTATGTGGGCATTCTTGATACTTGTAGTAAAAGAAAATACATAACTAATTTAATTTTACACAGAAGTATTTATGCAGATTTTCAGAATTTCATATCAGGAATAACCTTTTTATGTCCATTAGATATAAAACCAATTTGCTAATGTGTTAATTTGCACGTTTCCAGAGCTTGCTGTAGTTATATTGCAAAACGATGCATGTGAGCATTCCGCTTGGAATTTGTCCATGCTGCCAATTCAAAGATGACTGCATGGAAAACTGGTAGTTTAGAACAAATCAGATTCCTGATTTCAATGTACTAAGCACCAATTACTTTGTTGTATATGCTTGTACAAACAAATTACATATTCCTATAAACAAAATAAATGAAGAGAAATAATTATGTTGTCAGTCCTGAGATGAAACTTTCGACTTCTCTAATAAAAACCTTAAAAATTCCAAACTTCTAGTTTTGACTGTAGTGAATTGTAGGCTGGTGGTATTATTACTTACAAATTTTTAGGAAGTTGTGTTTCCTGTAAAAATGTGCATAGTGTCAATATATTTCTATCACAGCTTATTTATTCAAAGGAGTCTTATTTCTTTTAAGTGATAGAAGAATTGTGCAGCATCAGTCCTTGCAGCACTACAGGACTACCCGAGTACATACAGTGTAGCAGCACTACCTTGCGATGCAGCAGCCCGAGTACAGTATAGCAGCACTACCTTGAGAATGCAACTAAGACAGAGGTCAGTGAAGTCTTCAGGTGTTTAAGGCAGGATTTAAACAAATTTGTGATGCCTATTCAGAATTCCCATTCTGATGCCACTTAAGCTATGGAGGCACCTCCTGCTCCTTATGATCCATGTTTTAAAGACAAGTTGTGTACTGGGAGCAGCTCTCCCTGGCCCTCTAAGCTTGGCTCGAGCGCTGGAGGGAGCTGGGAGCAGCAGTGTTGGCATCTCAAACAAGGCAGTGATGATTGTATTTTTTTTAATGACAAATGTCTTCTAAAACTCAGCTGATGGAGACAGTGCTGTGAGCTGGAATTTTATACTGTTGCCTATCGCAGTGGTTTCTAGCTAGTAAGAAGGAGAAAATGACAGACCAGATATGGAGGGAACCGGATGGTGAAGCATTGAATGTAACTAGTTTTTCTTAAGCTCACTCACAGCCTGGCTGGAAATCACTGCCCTATCTGTTAAAATAAATAATTGGAAATGGAGGACTTGGGTTCAGCTCTGAGGAAAATCAGACCTGCCTGTCTTAATTCCCTGGTGAGTATCCTATCCATCAGGGAATATGCTGGTTATGGAACGCTAGAAAACACTGTCCACAGCCTCCTTTAGAGTCTGTGCTCGCTGCTTAGCCAGGAATAGTGAGACATTTATTGAGTCAGGGAGAAAATGTGTTTCTGTGAAACTGCAGAGCTGGGTAGCCTCAGCTTCCAGGCTGAGTTCCTAGAACTGTTATGTATTTCATCCATCAACAATTTAGCATAAAATGCAGACAGTAATTTGAAATTAAGTGATGAATTTTATCAGCTAAGTATTTTGAAATACTGTTTAAGTAGTATCTGATTCAAAAATTATTTGAAGTTTGGCCGCTAATGTAATGAGGTGAGAATTTCCATTGAGATGAAATAGGCTAATCAATTTGAACATTGATACTGAGTTAAAGCAGTTTAAAATGTCATTCCCTGCTGGGTGATAGATTTCACTTCAGTGAAATTTCAGCAAGGGAAGTGTCAGATTTTCCCTCTCTGAATCTCTTCAGATAAATTCAACACAGCTGTTATGGGGAGGGTCATGACACCCTGGCCTCACAGCCAGCCTGCTATTCTTTCAGTAATTTGGGGGTTGGTCATTAACTTGGCTGTTTCAAGGGGGGAGGTCTGTTTAACCCCTGTCCCACTCACGTGCAGTCAAACTGCATTGCCAGAGACCCAAAAATACCGTCTGGGGGCTGATTTCCTTGCAGACTCCACATGCTGTTGCCCACAGGCTTGCCTGTTAAAACTGGCTGCCAGCGGCAGACACATCCCAGAGCTGCTCACCTGGAAAGCCCCACTCCCAGGGATGCGCCAGCAGTGGTCCCAGCACTACTGCACCACTGTGACTGCACTGCGTGCTCCCTTCAAGGAGGCTGGTAAGTTATCGCTGTCTGGTAGTTGGAGGGTAGCAAGGGGGACTCGGCCTTCAGAGATACACAGGCAGTCTCCACACCTGGGGATAAGGGCAGGTTGCAGGGCTGGTTCCAGGTGGTGCAAACTGTGACCCTAAATTGGCCCTGATCACAGCATGTCAGGTCAGCTAATGCTGCACTGGATCTTTCAGTTGAGATTTTTCTGCTCTGTCAATGTTTTGAGGCTTTCGTGGTGTTAGGAAATCTTAGGGCTTTCCCTTTTTTGCTGTGGAGAGCGGGATAAACACAGCTCAGCAGGCTGGAAGTGGGGACTGTCGCTGAAGATGAAGGCTTTGTTGTGTGGCTGTGCAGGTGGCGGGTGCTGGGAGAGCAAGGTTCTGTGCTGTGGGGCTCAGGGGCCCGTAGGTCAGGCTTGCCCATGTCTCTTAACACAACTGCTCTGTCCCAGCTGTTCCCTGTGCTACCCTCCTAATGGGCTGGATGCAGGGGCAGCTGCTCAAGATCATGTATTTATTTGGAGGCTTAGAACCTACCTGGAAACCTCAAAAAAAAAAAAAAAAAAAGGAAATTAAACAGGGGGCTAGAGAAGGAAATAGAAGCTAGTTAAATACTAAGGTCATCAATGGAAGACTTGACGAAGCCAGGCGTTAAAATCACTACAGAAATACAGTCTGTTGCAGTCAAATAGCTTCATATAGAAGATAAGGTTTTTTCCTCTATATAGTCCTCTGAAACTGTTATCTGCAGGTTAATCCTGTATCATGACTGACACAGGTCTGGCTCTATTTTGGGGGCAGGACTGACTCTTTATCATGAAACAGGAGAGAGAGGAAATAGAATATAATTTTTAGTATGTACACCAAGCAGAAAAGGAATTTCAACAGAATAGTTGAAAAAAAATCAATATGGTTCTTCAGTACTTGCTTTTAATTTTCCCAGCAAGAAAACCCCACTCTGCAGGTGTGCCCTGGCAGACAAAGGACAGCTTCCCAGGGGCAGCTGCCCGCAATCAAAGCTCACCTTGCAGTACCTTGCTTCGCAAAACCCTGGACTGTTTCCTCCAGCCTCCATTTCCTGAACTAGAAATGTGAATTGCTGGTGAATCCGTGTAACGCCACACATGCCAATGAGCTGCTGTCCCTTTGGCTTTTTACGAAAGGAAAAAAAAAAAAAAAAAAAAATCCTTGGTAGTAGGCTCCAGTTCCCCGCTGCTCCTGGGACTTGTTTCTGTTAAACTGTAAATACTCGGATGTGCTCTTAATACGGGTCGAGGGTGGCAGCGCATTGAAGGACCGTAACAACTCCAAAAGAGAGGCGGAAAATAAGCCCGGCACAAGGGAAAGGGAAACCCCC